TTGCATAAAAGAACTTTCCACTATGGGGCACCTGGGTGGCTCAGTCTGTTGTGTTCAACTCTTGGTTTCTGCTCAGGTCATGATCTCAGGGTTGTGGGATTGAGTCCTTCATGGGGCTCTATGCTGCGTGTGAAACCTACTTGAGATTCTCTCTCTCTCCCTCTGCACCTCTCCCCACTTGCAGTGCTCTCTCTCTCAAATAAATAAGTAAATCTTTTTCTTTCAAAAAGAACTTTCCACTGTAAGTACATTTACCAAAATACTAACTTTTACAGCTTAATATTAGTATATTTAGTAAGTTCTATTAATTCTATGTGTTATCTTGTAACAGTTTTTCATTTGGCATATTATGAATATTTTCCTACAATTATATATTTAATGCTTTAACCCTATCTCTTTTTGGCTAATACATGCTGTTAATATTTTGGGTCATACTTCTCCATCCACCAGCACCCCCCGCCCCATTTTATTGAGCCATATTTGTGTATAGACTTTTTTTTTCAAAAGATGATATAAGCCTATCTTAATTGCTTTACTCACTGACTCTGTGTAATAAACATCCTTCCCATCAGTGAGATGTCATCTGTATTATACATAGACTAATACGGTAGAGCTGTGTTGTAACATCTTGCTACTATATTCTGTAAGATGTAACAAACCACCTTATTTGATACATTTGATGAATTTCCATTTTTTATATTTTTATTTTTTTAAAGATGTGTTTATTATTATTATAGAGAGAAAACATGCGTGTGTGCAGGGGAGCGGGGGTACAGTTAGGGGCAGAGGGAGAGGGGGAGAGAGAATCTTAAGTGCACTCCACACTTAGCATGGAGCCCGACACAGGGCTGATCCCAGAACCCTGAGATCACAACCTGAGCTGAAACCAAGACTAGGATGTTTGACCAACTGAACCACCGAGGCATCCCATTCTTCTTTTTTAAATAATACAACTGTTGGATTGGGAGTCATTGATCAAAGATGGTTCATTTTTGTTTCCCACAGAAAGTCCATACTCATCTGTTTCGTTAGCATGGAATAAAAAAGCCCATTTCTTTAAAAAAGGCAATACTTTTAGGCATTCATGTTATTTTTAATCTTTACTGTATTATAGATCTGAAAACTTCATTGTTGCCTTATTTTCTAATATATACTGGCTCTCCTGTAGATTTAAAAAAATTTTTTTTAATTAACATATAATGTATTATTTGCTCCAGGGGTACAGGTCTGTGAATCGTCAGGCTTACACACTTCACAGCAGTCACCAAGGCACATATGTTCCCCAATGTCCATAACCCCACCACCCTCTCCCTGCCCACCTCCCCCCCGCTACCCTCAGTTTGTTTTGTGAGATTAAGAGTCTCTTATGGTTTTTCTCCCTCCTGATCCCATCTTGTTTCCCATAGATTTTTTTAATGAATTACATATTCATGCATGTTATTTGCCCATTTTTTGTTTGGAATATTCATTTTTAAAAAATTGACTTGAAGGTTTTACATTTGTGATACTTTGTTTAAAACGCTTTGAGAACATTTGGAGGAATCTAGTAATGGGAAGAGCAGATTCTGGGGTGTACGCTGAGTCCTTGAGAATTTAAGGTATCCCCCACAAGGTATTAATGTTTAAACAATTGAAGCCACCAGACCAAAAAAAAAAAAAAAAAATCTTTGGACATTTTTCCTAACTAATTTGATGGTCGGGGTAAATTGGAATGCCTAATTATAGATGTCACTAGATTCTTTAAATAGAATTACACTCATAAGTCAAATAAGACAATTCATAACAATTTGGTCCGGCATTTTAATTTTGTCTGTTAAATTATTCATGTGAATACTTTTATGAGTTTAGCCATAAATATTTGATTGGTGGTTCCTTCATGACCATAAACTATTTCAGTCCTTCATTTTTCTCATTTATGTTCAGTGAACATACGGGAAGGTGGGGAGAATTTATTTTTCTTAATAACGAGAAACGTCTTTCCCCACAGAGTTATTGAGCCTGTCTGATGAGCATTTACGATGGCTGGAGGTCCACATCATACCTGTTCTGATCGTTTCACCAGGGTGGTGATAAGAGTCCTCATTACCTAGAGGGGAAAATATAACTCTCTATTTTCTGGCTGAGGGAACTGACATTTGGAGAGGTGGGGAATTTTCCAGAAGTTGCACAACACGTTGGTTGGTGGCTGAGTCTGGATTCCGATCTAGGTCAATGTAGACTGAAAGATGGAATCTTTGCCATCTCCCAGTGACTGTCGTGACTGGTCCTCTCTGATCCAAGCCTGTGGGCATATAAATGGCCATTCTCTGCGTGCACTCCTCCATTGGCAGGCACATTTACGAGGTAGACTCCAAAATCCAGAAAGTTGTGTTCTGCTTCTGTTTTCTAAGCACCTGGCTGCATAGACGAAACCTTCCCTGGTATAAACAGGTGTCTGTAGGCACCTCCCAATGTAGGCATGTTTGAAGAGGCGCAAGGACTGGCAGGCCGGTGAGTGTGGGCAACTAGATGGGGATGTCACAAGATGCTTCTTATAGGCGACTTCGCAGAGTGTGGCTTTTGATAGACGATGACCGGTGGCTTAGTGGGATCATAAGTCCTCTTATATCATTCTGTCTCTTGACCCTAAACAGGGTGAGGCGTGCTTCTGTGCCAGAGAAAGGGAAGAGTACTAGAAGCATCACCTGTTCCAATGAGGAGACGCTGGGTTGGTGCCTGGATAGGGCTGCTCACCAGAAACACCAAGCCATCATTAGAAGCCAGGGATTTTCAGCCCCATCTCCATCCTCCAGGGAGGGGAGAGGGGCTGGACATGGAGTTGAGGGTGGATCATGTCTGTGTGATGAAACCTCCATAAAATCCCAATAATAAGGGCTCCCAGAGAGCTGCCGGGATGCGCTGGGAATGTACTGGAGAGTGCTGGAAACCCCGCATTCCTTCCCACATACCTCACCCTACACATCGCCTCCATCTGGCTGTTCGTCTGTGTCCTCTATCCCAGCCCTTCATAAGCTGGCAAACAGAAGTACCCGTTTCCCTGAGTCTGTGAACACTCTGGCCCATTAGTCAGACCCAAGGCATGGGTTATGGGAGACTCTGATGGATGCTCTGTCACTCAGAAAGCACAGGTAACAAGCTGGGCCTGTTGTCGGTGTCCCACGCTGGGAATGGGCCATTCTGTATGACTGAACCTTTCCCTGTGGGGTCCCACACTCTCCAGTGAGATGGTGTCCGAAGTGAGCTGGTTGTGGGACACCCAGGTGGTGTCATGGAGAATCACTTGATGTGTGGGGAAAGGTCCCACATTTGGTGACCAGAAATGTCAAAAGTGAAGGGTTCTCTGTGAAGGTAAGGGATGCCTGGTGGCTCAGTTGGTGAGGTGTCTGCCTTTGGCTCAGGTCATGATCCCAGGGTCCTGGGATTGAGTCCCACATCGGGCTCCCTGCTCAGCGGGGAGTCTGCTTCTCCCTCTCTCCGCTCATGCTCTGTCTCTCTGTCTCTTTATCAAATAAATAAATAAATAAAATCTTAAGGGAAAAAAAAAGAGAGACTTACAGGGAGGACGGAGTAGGAAGCGCCTGGGCATTACTGTACTCAGGAGGGACAGTGACCTGACTTCCTGTACAGGTCTCAGTGGGTCTGTCTGTACATGCCCCGTGACTCATTCTCACCTTCTCCAGGCTTTCTTGGTACCAGCCCTTTCAGCTCTGCTCATGCTGATCACAGCACTCGATTACCCTGGGTTGGGTCATTTTTTAATATTTTTCTCTCAGCCCCTAGGTGATGTCTTTTTTGAGGACAAAGCCGGAATAGCCCGGAACCTGCTGCAGGACATTGACTCACTCCATACATATGTGACAAAGGAAGGACTTAGTCCACAGACGTGTTTTTGTCCCCAGCTGCTCCTCTCAGGCTCTGTGCTCACTGCTGTTATAAATAATTTATCTTCCAAAATGATTGCTCTGGGGGACTTTAACCAGATCCGCTGTGCTTTAGTAACTGCCTTTCCGTTGGGTATTTGTAAGCAGGCCATCAAGTCAGCACACCTGGCCTCTTAGAAGGCCACCCTTCCATTCAAGTACTTCCTGTTGGGTTTTCTGGAAGGCTTTTGAAGGGATTGCTAGGAGGAGCGGGGGCATGGCTGCGTCCTTCCTGTGGACAGGGATCGGGGCTGCAGACCTTGGTCCACTTCTTGCTTTCCCCTGGTTTTGTCATCTTCACACTGGACATGAGAGTTTTTGGTACCACCATGGGACAGGCCTACTGCAGCCTCTTCTGTGTGCCCCCCAGATGGCCCCTCCGATAGGGACCCAGCAAGGGGAGCAGGACAGCCCCAATGTGCTCTCAGGCCCTGCTGTCCAGCCTCCCCTCGTGAGCATGGCTCAGTGAAGGTGGGTCTCGGAGCTGGCGGTGGAAGGAGAGGAGGGCCTGGTGGCTGAAGCCTGGAGGGTTGGGGGGGCTCACTTGGAGCTGGACATGCGCTCCTGGAGACCACGCTGGCCTCTCCTCCATCAGGGATGCCCCCACCCGGCAGGGGGAATAGGCTCCAGGGCTGGGGGATGGTGCTTCCTGGGCCTGACTTGGACGTCACGTGGGGCATCTTCAGGAACGACTGGGCTGTGAGAACAAGAGGTGTAGCAGGAGAAGGGAGGCAGCAGAGGGGGCTGCCCCACTTGACATCCCTCCCCCCACTCTGGCTTGCACCTGGGGACATGAGGTCCTATTGCTCTTGGGTTGAGTCCACATTTAGGAGCACGCTGCACTTTCACCAACAGGAGAACTCTGTCCTTGCCCTGCCAGGTCACAAGACATCCTGTATATATAAAATTTCCAGTGTCCCCCTCAGTGTGGGGAGTCAGAACAGGGGTGCTCCTGCACCCTGAGCTGCCAGAGCCCTGGAGGGATCCCCAGAACCCAGAGAGTGTTTGTGTACATGTGTGTGTGCATGCGTGAGGGGGCTCCCCTGGCCTCAGGCTGGCTGCACGTCTCTGTCTCTGCAGGTGATGCCCCAGCAAGGACCCCGCCTGCGTGGGGCAGCCCACGGCCTCTGGCTCAGGCCACCGCCCTCCTGGTTAAGCGGCTCCGCCACACACGCCGGTCCTGGAAAGGTGCCCTCTCTGACCTGCTGCTGCCCGTCCTCTTCGTGGCCTTGGCCATGGCCTTGTTCATGGTGAGGCCTCTGGCCATCGACTACCCTCCCCTCAAACTGACACCAGGCCATTACGACAGGGCTGAAGCTTCTTTTTTCAGGTAAGAACCTTCTTTTTCCCCTCTTTTACTTCCAAATTATGTCAGGATTATGAATAACAGCAACTTTGATCTTTTTTTTTTAATGTTTTATTTATTTGTTTGAGAGAGAGAGCACAGCAGGGGGAGCAGCAGAGGGAAAAGGAGAAGCAGACTCTGCTGAGTAGGGAGCCTGATGCACGCCTCGATCCCAGGACCCTGGGATCATGACCTGAGCCAAAGGGAAATGCTTACATGACTGAGCCCCCCTCGGTGTCCCAGTAGCTTTGATACTTTTAAGAATCTCAAATACATGTGAGGTTTCATGATTTTGGAGCACTGGGTTCAAGAGGGTAAGCCCGTGGACTGGAGATACTGAGTTTTTTCCTACTCATGCCTACAGACCTACGATATAGCTTCACCCCTAAATCAGGCGCAGGCAGAGCCCGACAACAGCAATAACCGAGCACTCTGAACCACAGACTATCTACAGTGACGTGAATGTGGGCTCTCCCCAGTACTCACGTAGTTCTGGTGCCGACGCGATGAGTTCAGGATGAGTGACTTGAAGGTCTGCCTGGAGGAAAGCCAGTTACAACTGTGGGTGGTCCACAACCAGAGCCGCGGATAAGAGGGACTATGGGGTGTCACGGAACCCTCCCGGTTGGCTCTGGGACGACAGCCAGGAGCTGCACACCTGTCTCTGGAGAGACACATCTGACTTTTCTCTCGGGGTGGGAATGAGCCCATATGCGTCCCCAGGCTGGAGGAGGCCCGTAAATTTGGAGTTTTATAGGAGATGAATTTGCATAATGTGTTTCTAGGGGGTTAGTTTTACCGCTGGGGGCCAGACGGAGGGACCTGAGCTGGTTCCCCGGCTGCCCAGGATGAGGCAAACTTTTGTCCCCTGAGCTCTGCCCTATGCTGAGAGCATCACCAACCTGAATGACCAGGTACAGCTCTCCTTCTGGAAGGTGATGCTCACACGTCTGGGGACCAGGCGCGGCGCATATGACCAGGGGGCGCATGGAGTGGAGGGCACGATGAGCTCTACATATCCATACCGAAAAAACAAGCTTAATTAGCCAGACTCTTGGTGCTTCCCAGTATTAGTTGCTTTTACAACGATGTGCAATTTGGAATTAGGTTTAGACAAGTACAGGCAGAGAAGGTGAAATCGATGACACACTGTCCAGTTCATGTCTTGGTCCTTCCGTTCATTGTGCTCTTCCTCTGGGTGTCCTTGTGATCCATGGAGCCTGGGATTAACTCACAAAGAGGATTCTGCTCTGTTTCCGGAAATGTGGACCGGCCCCATGTGTTCCCTCTGCAAGTGGGCTCCTTTTCCTTCTGCCTAGATATTTTATGCTCCTGCCCTCATCTTCTCTGAACTGTTTTAAAGGAATGGACCAGAAGGACAGCGTCCACTCTAAGGCCTTCTTGCCCAACGTTCCCCTCTGTGCCACACTCCCCAAGTGGGAAGGAGCTGCAACTATCCTGAGTTGTTTAATTATAAAATGTGTTTCTTGAAAAACGATAGGCATAGATACACAGTGTGGGGTTGTGCCAAAGTGGACAGGGTGTGGTGCTCTGTCTGGGGGTGTCCAGGAAAGCCTTCGAAAGGCTATCGCGCCTGAACTGAGTCTCCTCAATGATAGTTTGGTGCTCCCCAGGCAGGGAGGAGAAGTTTCTCCAGATAGAGGAAGAAGTATGAGTCCCATGAAGAGAAACGAGGTAATCCGGCAAAAGTCTTTTTCCTGACAGGTGCGGAAGGCATTCCAAGCAGAGGCCGTGTCCCGCAAGGACAATGAGCAGCAGCATTAAGAGGCTGTGAAATGTGGGCCGTGATCTAATCCGGTTTAGTTTACAATGGCATTTCTTAAATGGTTGTTTCATGGAGAGCTGTTCCTTTGGGTATCCATTCTGAATGTCGCTAAAGAGATTCCCTCTTCCTGTTGGGACTGATTGAGCTGCAAAACAAAGTTAAATAGGTTTCTTTTCTATAAACTTCTCAGAGCTTTCAGTATGTTGAACTGGCCACACAGAGCCAGATTTCCTCTGTTTGCTTACTTCCAGTCAATCCTGTAATGAGAATCTCTCTGAAGCCTGCGGAGGCTAGGACTGAACGTATGTTCCGTACCCCATTATCCCAGCCCTCTGCCTCTGTCTAAACACACTCCAATTCTGTATCTGTTGTGAAGTGTACAAAAGAATCCCATGCATCTGAGAATGACCTTTTTCACTTCATAGTGCATGACTATGCACTTCCATATTGTTCCATGTTTCTGCATATCATTTGTTTTGAATATTGGACAGTATTCCGTGGTATGAATATGCCACAACTTATTAATCTTCTCTCTTAATGATGGACATTAGGAGCTCTTTCCAGGTTTTTTTGTTTGTTTGTTTTTGGCTTGTTCATTTGTTTTTGCCATTGAGAACGGTGCTGCATGAACATTCTAGCATATTCTAATAAATGTCTAATAATAGTTATACCCATATAAAAGCCTCTCATGGCTGGTCCTAGAAACGTAATTGTTGATCACTTGCAGAGTATGTAAATATCCTACTTTAGGAGATAATGCCAAACTTTTTCCAGAGCGGTTACAATCTTGCATATATGTATCGTCTTCGGTGCCTTTATGTATTTCTTAAAAATAGCCACCTTAAGAAAATGTTTATGCTAAAGAGGTGTATTTTGGGGAGCCATAGTCTACCTTGGTTTGCAATCAGAGTTTCTGGATGCTGTTGTCCTTTTCAGAGTTATCAGGAGATGGTAGGTAGCGCAGCTTCCCCCCCAACCCCGCATGCCACCCCCCGCCCACTCCTCTCACCCTCCCACCCTCCCACAGTCCCCACCACCCCCGCAGCTGCCTGTTTGCCTGGTTCTCTTTTTTTCTTAGATAATATTTTCTGTCTGTAAGCTTATAGGATTTCTTCTTTGTCTTTAGAGTGTTGGATCTTTTTCTTGTTTTTGTTTTTTAATCTTTTTCTCAAGGGATCTGTGGATTTCAGTCCAGGGGGCTCCATTAACAACAGGAAGCCCCTTTGGGGTGGTGGTTAGAAATATGTATCTGTTCTGTACCAGCAAGCTCCCTGGGTCACTCTGATGCTTGGTAAAATTTGTGAGTAACACGGAGAGAGAAACAGTATCCCGTTAGGTACTGCCTCCAGAATCAGGATTGGCCACTGATTTTCACTTTCTAGAGTCTGGTAATGACAGAATTCACTTGGTTCTAACAGCACTTTAAAATATAGCTGAGGATTTGAAGACAAGCACAAAATAATAGTTTTAGGAACAAGCATTTGAATCTTCAGACCACAAGGGAAAACTTAAAGCCAGTCTTTTTTTTTTTTTTTTAAAGCAGTGATCTCTAGACCTAAGCAAAAATCTAGTAGAAAGCAAACCATAACTTTTAAACTTGCACTTAGTAAGTCTAGTAAGTAAGCTCCAAGCAAACCACTTCGCAGATCAATATGTTTTTCAGAAAAAAAGGATTTTAAACTTTCATATTTGTTCTTGGATTAATGGGTCAAAAGAAAGCAATCCAGAGTGTTTCTACAGATGCCACAAATAATGTTTTCTTTTTATGGGCAACAGTTCAGTGGAAAATATGTCCCTTTCCTTGTAAACGTGTTTTCTCATTTGTCAGAAACTGGGAGGTTGTTTATGCAGAGGTCACAACACCGACTTAGGAGACATTACTTTGGTATAAATTTCAGCGTGTTTCATCACTGTCCTTTCTGTCCACTGTTGTACGGAATCCTATTAGGTCAACTGTAAACCACCTGAATACTTAAAAACCTTTGTTGTGTTTTATGCAGCGGGGAAGATGGCGTTTTCCTATTAGTAATTACTCTGTGCTGGATGCTACAGCCATGTTCCTATCCTAAGCTTATGCACAGGTATGGAGCTGAAAAGAATTGTCCTCAGCAGAAACACAAAACTAATTTATTGTCATGAGTTGGTCTTTCTTTTCTATTAAAATTGTTCCTCTCTGAAAGTTAAGAGGTCAAGGAAGACCATATTTAAGGAGGTAAAATATTTGGATAGTGATGAAGGATTAGCCCAGTCGTAAGATCACAGTTTGCTTCATGAATTATTTTTGAGAATCTACTGTGTTCCAACTGCAGTCCTAAGCCTGATGTCCTTTCTCCCCTGGGTCATTTTCTCCCGTGATGAGAGGGGATCATCAGTTAAAAACTAGTGGTTTTTAAAACCACTGGTGATGTCAAAAGCCAGTGGTGAAGGTCTCCAGGCCACTGGGCAGGAACAGGAGAGAAGAGCGAGGAGGCAGAGGAGGGCTCCCAGGAGAAGGAACTCAGAGCTCAAATGCCGCTGATGGCTTAGCAGCAAGTGCAGGGAGAGGGGATGCACTTTTGGGGAAACTGCAGGGCAGGGGAGGAGCTGCCCAATCAAGGTGGTTTAGTGGGACTGGGCGGGGCCAGGCGGGGCGAGCCTGGATGGGAGGGGCCAGCTGGGGTCAGGTGGAGTTTAGATTGGCTGGGAGGGGCGAGGGGGGGCCAGGTGAGGTTGAGCTGGGCTGAGGTGGGTCTGGCCCCGTGGGATGGGATGGGGTGGGATGGGATGGGGTGGGGTGGGGTGGGGCAGGTGGGGGTGGGGTGGGGCAGGTGAGGGTGGGCTGGGCCGGGCAGGGGAGGAGTGGGGCATCGTGCAGCCTTCTGGGAGACAGTGCTGGGCAGCTTTTGCCGAGAGATGGCAAGGTCTGAGGAGTGCTGGGGGCGCTTAGTTCCCTTCTCAAGGCGCGTAGGTAACGAGGAAGGTCATGGGGGCGGCATCTGGTCAACGTGAAGCTGAGGAAACATTATTTGGTGTGTTGGAGGCTCACTGAGGGGATTAGGAAAATTTGAAATCTCGGTCAAATCCCATCTGGGCAGAAGTCTGCACTGTGGGAAACACTGAGGTTCCTTTTCGTTTTGGGCTTTTATTGGTGCTTCTGGGTCGTGGAGGTTCAGTAAGACTGAGCAGCTCGACCCCCCCCCCCCCCCCGCCCGGATTTGATTGCCGGGCGGATTCAGAACCGTGATCGGGAATCAACATCTCGCTGTCCGTAAGCAAATCAGAAGACGCTGTGTTTGGACAGGACACCGGGATCTTACATTCCTTACAGGAAGCTTCTGTTTTAAGTTGTTTAAAATGAACCTTTGTGCGCATTTGTTAATGTACCTGCTGCTTTCCAAAGAGATTTGAGGCCACCCTCTACATGTAAGTAACCGCTCATGCTAGTAGTACATCATTTTTCTTTATCTTGGGGGAAAGCGTTCCCTACCATGTCTCTTCAGAAGCATTTTGAATAAATGATATAAGTTCTGGAAGTAATAAACCTTTTCTTTTGGAAATGCAGTAGTAATTCAGAGTTTTAATTACTTCAAAGAGGCCACTCCCAATGAGTACAATTTAGACAGATTTAAATGCTCTTTTCCTCTCCATTTTCTCAAGTCAAGGTATTTCTTTCACTCCATGTATGGAATGTAATAGAGTTTGTTTCCACACCTCCCCAGGTTAGAGGAATAGTGTGTCTTACCGCCGGCAGTGTCTTTAGCAAGGAAATTAAGCCTTGGCTGTTCCTCAGCAGCTATCACCTAACTTCTGATGTTTGTGCCAGTAAAATAAATATGATAATCGATGTCTACTTAAAGCACACACAGGATTTACCAAGAAATTGTTGTTCCATATAGCTCACATATAGAAAAAAAAAAGCATAAAAATACAAACTTCTATTGCAGAGTGGCCAATAGAATATTCAAACAAACCAGAGTTCCAACATTAAGAGAATTTTTAAAATAGATTTTAATATATTAATGTGATGAAACCTTCTGCAGCCTTTAAAACTCTTTTTAAAAAGCCATGCAAAAATGCCAAAGATGACAATGTTGCAGAAGTGAGAAGATGAGGACAAGAATACAGTGTGAGCATTAATACGTAACAATTAATATGTAATAATGGTTTTGCTTTACTATACTAACTCAACAGTAAGCGTTATCTGCGATCACAGATCTAAGAATCATGTGCCCCGATCAGCTCAGCTAGGGCGTGCTGTCCTGTGATCTCTGCCAGCAAGTACTAACACTGCCACCTTATTTCTTTTGTCTTCCGATAAAGCAGCAGCGGGAGCGAGAGCGAGGGCCAGGAGCTCACCCACATGCTTCTGCGGAAGTTTGGAGATCAGGATCCACTCTGTGCTGATTTGAACCCAAACCTGTAAGTATCCGTTGCCTTTGTGAGAGTGTGCCCTCTACCCACAACCCTGCAGACCCCGAGAACCATCTCCCTGCCTGACTGGTCTTTCCCTTTGCAGGTTCATTTTATTTTCTTTTTAAAAGACTGTAATTATTTATTTTAGAGATGGGGGAGAAGGCACAGAGGGAGAGGGACAAGTAGACTCCATGGTGAGCACAGAACCCACCTGAGGCTCCATCCCATTACCCTGAGCTCATGACCTGAGCTGAAATCAAGAGTGTGTGGGGTGCCTGGGTGGCTCAGTTGGTTGAACGACCGCCTTCAGCTCAGGTCATGATCTTGGAGTCCCAGGATCGAGTCCTGAATCGGGCTCCCTGATTGGGGAGTCTGCTTCTCCCTCTGACCTTCCCCCTCTCACGCTCTCTCTCTCATCTGTCTCTCTCTCTCTCTAATAAATAAAATCCTAAAAAAAAAAAAAGTGGGTGGATTAACCCACTGAGCCACTCAGCTCCCCCACCCAGCCCCCCTTGCAACGTTAAGTGACATACATTAGCCTAAGGAGTCAGTTAGGCTACATAGTTGCCCCTTCTTTCCTCGGTAAACACAAACACAAGCTTTATATTATAGCTAAAAAATTAATAATTAATAGTATTCAATTTCTTTGATAAAACCCAAAGATAAAAAGCATGAAGTAGCAAGTAAATATGAAATGTGTAGTAACTTACTTTTAGGGAAAACTTGTACCTATGGAAAGACTGTATTTTTATTTTTAACCAAAGGAACTTAAAATGGTTCACCTGTTGGAGGTGAATTACGTTGAAGATTTTTTTCCTTCTAAGATTTGAAAGTGATAACATCGAGACAACTTTTTAATGAAACTCGTGAAAGCCTGCCTTTCTTCGTAAAGAATTTCCTCTCTCAGTTTGCTTGACTATTACGTATTGAGCATCTACTATAAGAGCAGTGCTGCGGGAGGAACCAGGGTTGATGTCCGACCTGGCTCTGCTCCAGGAATGGACGGTTCCGGGAAGAGCACGTGGGGAACGTGATAAAACCACAAGGATGTGTTAAGTACCAAAGTGTACGCTTTGGAGTCATAAATATAAAAATCTAGACAATAATGCACTATTGACAGTAGGTTTTTCTAATGGGCGAGGACACATCAGTGCATTAGTCAAGTCATCAATCAGGAGGGAATAACTATTAGGGGCGCGGTATGGACAAATTAATGGGAAATTAATTATGTCGCCTCACTGTAGTCTGGTGTTGAAAAACAAAGTAATTCTGTTTACTAAGCAGGAGCTTCTATGGCAATACCTTTGTGTCCGCCCCTTTGCTGCACCCAGGGTTGGGGGGGGTGGTGTTGAATGTAAAACAGGCTTGGAGAAACTGACCAGCAGCCCAGGGCCTGCGGAGAACTGGGCTGGCCCTGCCTGTGGAGTGTGGCTGGCTGATCAAAGGACGTTTTTTTAAAAAAAGATTTTATTTATTTATTTGAGAGCGAGAGAGATCGCACACAAGCGGGGGCTGCTGCAGAGGGAAAGGGAGAAGCAGGCTTCTTGCTGAGCCGGGAGCCTGATGCAGGGTTCGACCCCAGGACCATGAGATCATGACCTCGGTCGAAGGCGGATGCTTAAGGACTGAGCCACCCAGGTGCCCTCAAAGGACATTTCTTCATCGAATTTCTCCAGAGAGGGAAAAAGTAGATTCAGTGCTAAGAACAGCAGAACATATTTAGAATTGCAGTTCCTTTCCTGGCACTCAGGATGGCTCCCCATCCTCACCCCTCCCCAGGCTCAGAAACCCCTCCTTTAGCTGCCCTCCCCACCCCCCTGCAGCTAGCTCACCCTCCTTGGTTTTTCTCTTCAGCCTTTCTTTTCCTTCCAGAATCTGTGTGTTGGTTTTCTCCTTTCTCTCGGGAAATGCACAGGGTCTATTCTTAACCATTTCTATTTTGTAACCTTTCCTGCCCCTTTGTCTTGGTCACAGGGACAAAAGGCTGGGGGTTGGGGGGGGGGGTGCTGCCTCACTCAAGAATGTTATTTTAGGGGCTGAAGGCTTTTCCTTTCTTCCCTTCTAGGTTCTTTAGCAGGTCTAATAATTAAATCGTTGTAAGACAAATGAACGGGAGAAAAACAAATTTAATTAGTATGTATGGGAGCTCAAAGAAGTGACCAAAGCAATTGGCTGGGACACCTTTTAGACTAAGAGACAATACATTTGTAAAGAATCTACAAAACAAAGAGGTTTGGGCTTGGGGTAGGCAATTGGTAAAGAAGAAACAAGGTTTGCTTATACAGGATTCTCCAGAAAGGAAGAGAGGGTACCTTCCTCAGGGAGACATTTCTCCTACTTTCAGGACAAAGGGTCTGAGTGCCTGGCCTCCACCAGCTCTTTCCTCTGTAAATTTAATCCAAAATAATCAATATATCACGGTTGCATATTTTGGGGAAGACTGCCCTGGGCCCGTCACTATGAATACTTATATTAATAATTTCTGCCCATGTGACAAAAATAGGCTTGATTTCCTAAGATCCCAGATGGAAGCAAAAGGTTTTCCTTAAGACAAGTAAATTTCCTTCTGTAAGTGAAAGCTAGTCTTGAATTTAGGGATATCTATATTTTCCTTTCTTGGCAGACTTGACCAATCATTTGATTGTTAAATTAGAGGAATCATTTTAAGATACTAAGTGGGATTCTGCTTATGGGTTATTTTTCTGTTGAGTTCCTCTGAGTCTCCTATGGAAGAGTATGATGATGAATGCCTGACTTTTACCTCTTTTTGTACGGAAGGTAATAAAGAGCTCCAAAAAAATTAATTGTGGTATAAGCCTGACCTAAAATACAAGTTTTCCCATCATAATACATGATGTGTTATTTAAATTTTAAAATGTGCTTAAAGTTGCCAGTTTTTGAAAGGCAACTTGTAGCTTTCAGTATTTAATTTCATTTTACCAGGTTTGTGATTGGGTGACACTTTCCCTTCCGTCTCTGAGGCAAAATGGTCCCTTTGCCACCCATGCTTGTTGATGCTTTAAAGAGAACAAGAGTGGAAGGAAGCAGATTTTTTTATTTCCACTGAACTGTGAAAGCCAGGTGGGGAGAGGTGGAAGGTCATTTCCATGATCCGACGGTCTATAGCAGTATGAGGAACCGTCTCGTTGTCCTCTGACTCCCAGGGCTCCCGAGGTTGGGTCCGCAGCTAGGAGCAGCCGGTGACACATTCCTTCGGGGGAGACTCAGGATGTTGAGGTGAAGCCCTGAGATCCCGAGGAGTGTGCAGATCCGCCCTGGTGGGGAAGGGGCAGAGAGCCCGGCACCGGCTGCCTGAGCCCACGTCTCAGCTCTACCTTGTCTCTGCCGTGTGTCGTGGGCAAGTTCCTAACCCCAGCTCTGTTTCTGCATCCCAGGCTCCCGGTTCTCCAGAAAGAGCAGCGCTCAGCTCAGGTGGTCCTGTTCTTGGACCGGGGTATCTGTTCTGAACTCAGGTTCAGTGGTTTGCCCCTGGAAACCTGATACTTAAGGGACAAAGAGTGGTGGGTGAGGAAAGTCTGCTTCATTCAGAAAGCTGGCTACCTGGGAAGATAAGGCGGGCTATGGTCCCAAAGGCCATCCTCTAGGCCAAGCGGGAGAATTTTAGAGGGGAGGTGCTGGAAAAGCGCTGGGGTGGGTGGGTGGGGGCTCCCTGCCAGAGAAGTGAGTGCTTGGCGCTGAGTCACCTGTCCACAGGACCCTGAACGGACTTGCTGGCATTGGCAGGTGTTCTCAAATGCCGTCAGGGCTGGTCTTCTGGGGAATTCTGGTCCTTCACTCTCCAGGCCAGTGGTCTGCAGATCTCAAGGCGAGTGAGTGAGGTCTGCTATAGACCAAGGGGCTTAGGTCCTCGAGCAAGGCAGTGTTGGCTTGAAGCCAGTTCAGCCTTCAGACGGGCTGGGGTGCCCTTGCTGCCCCCATGGGAAGGGCTGTTGTTCCTTTAGGCAAGTTTGTGTCTCAGGGCCCTTTCCTCCTGAGATCAGGCCCTTAGGGCAGCTCACTCCTGAGATGCAAAATGCACACCAGACAGGAATCTCAGCCTCCCCTGCATTCAGGAGATCCGAAACCCAGCATTCCTGAATGCCGCATCCCAGACCGGAAGAAGCCAGGTTCTTGCTGACCTGCTTCCGTGGACACAGCAAGGGTCTTCTTGTCGTTGCCTGGATGCATCGCACCTTGGTGGGAGCACGTGGGAGCAGCACAGCCCAGAGCCAGGAGCTCAGGGCACCAAAGACCTGTCCTACTCAGTGTGACCTTGGACGAGCTCTCTCTCAGAGCCTCCATTTCCCCTTCTGAAAAGTGGGGCCAGCGGGACGTTTTGGCAAAAATCCTGGCAAGGTGTCTGTTGTTCGGGAAATGTTCGTTTCCTCCCTTCTTGACCAAGTTTTGAGGAGAGAGGGATGATTATTACTAAAGCAACTTCTGATTTATGAGCATCAGGAAAAAAGAGTTGGAGACTCCAAGGGTGAGAGCCCCCGGGGAACTTCAGGATGAAAGGTTTGGAGCCACTCCACGAGGTCCTTTCCTCACCGTTTCTGTCCAGCAGCCTTTCTTCATACTGGGAAATTAATCCTTGTTTTTCTTTAAATGCTGATTAAATCGCTGTGTCGCGCCACGAAGCCGAATTAGCAGCTCCTGTGCTTATCGCTTGCTGGAGTGGTGCGCAGAGTGGAGTGCCCGAGAGCAGGTGTCTGAGCAGGCAGACGAGCCGCATGCCCCGGCGCACGTCCCCAGGAGCTTTGGTAGCACTTTCTGTACAGCCAACCAAGTGAGCATCATTTAATAGAATGGAAACATTGTCATTGTAATGAAATGTTGTCATCAGATTAGCAGCTCAAGCTGTGAAGACAAATGTAAGAGCTCTGCCTTCTGCAGCAGGAGATGACTATCTCCTGAGCGGCTCTGGGCTGATGCAACTCGCTTTTATGGAAATCAACGAGCTCTGTAATCGGAAAGATCATCCTGAGTCTCTCCTCTGTTTGCTAGGAGGAACTCTTCATGCTGGCGCGTGGATCCCCCATCTCAGGCCCGAAAACCCGACTCCTGCGGCTGCCTGGTAGGTTTCTACAGTGTGTTTCATCCTTTGTAGGCTTCAAACCTCAAGTCACAAAAACGAGCTTACTCCCTCTACGACGTCTACGACGTCTTCATTACCGTTAACTCAGGGAGCTTCTGCGACTCTCTGCTTGACCTGATTAGCTGGTTCTGGGAAAAGTTACAGTACACAGAGTGGACATTTACATGATACGACGTTCTGTGGACTCTACAGTGACCCTGCTACTCATTTTTTGCTGTTCATGACCATTGACATCTCTGACAGCATTTAATAAGCACATTAATCTTCAATTCATGAGAAAGAAGCTAGAATTGCCTTTTGGGGAGACATTTCCCCCAATTTTAAGTCAGGGTGACCTCCAGCGTCCTGTCTTATACATGCTGGAGTGTGGAGAGCTGCATATTAGAAGCTAAGGTACACCTGTCTCGTCCGATTACGGCTGTCCTACAGAAACAGATGGGGGTACGGATTCCACTATTAAAGCGGGGCTCTAAGCTCTCCGCTCTGCGCCAGGGTGGGAATTGGAAGTTACTTGGAAAGCTGACTGGAACTTATCTCAAAGCAAATGTCAAAAGGTAATTAATAAGAAAGCCTCAGCCTGTTAGCCACACTCGCCAAGCTAACATGCAATCCTGATTTCCAGAAAGGAAAAGCAAGTCTCAGTTGAAATGGACCAAGGGTCTGTTAAGAAAACATGGTCCCATGAAGCCCATGTTTTCAGGGGTTTTCTGTTTAGTGGAACATGGGATATATTTCTTTTACTAGCGTAGTGACTTGAGGAGGTTTTTTTTTCTGGATGGAACTGGCCTGTTTTCTTCTCTGACGCAGAGCGTGGGCAAGTGAGTGAGAGCAGTGGCACAGCCCCGTGGCAGAGGCGTGGTTGGTGTCTGGCCTGAGAGTTTGCTGAGACTCCACCCATGTCCCCGGGGCCTGGCTGTCCGACTACTCAGCCGTCTTGCGAGCTCCTTTGCAGGGACAGCCCAGCTACCTCTGGCTCCCGGTTTTTTGGACGCAACGATGGATTCCTCCCTCTCTTGTTTATTCCCTTCTGTTATGAAACCACTAATTTTTCATTCTGTGCCCTTATTCCTGGCCTTGATTTAATCATTCTGTTCAATCAGCACCTTTTTCTGTGAGCTACCTTAGCTCCGTTGTCACTAGACTGGGTGTCAGTGGCAAAGAAACGAATGACAGAGATGTTCCTAAATTCACGCCAACTTGCATGAACCATAACATTGCAGTATTATGCATGGAGGGAAGAAAGGTTCCTGTGAAATAGCCAGACAAACCTCGGACATGCAGGTTGGGATGCGCTTTGAGAAATGCTGCTCCACACGTTGGGAGGCAGAGGACTCTGGTCCAGGAGATGGGACGTCCAGGTGGAAATCAGACCCACCGCACGGAATGGTGCCACCTTACAGGCTGGCCCAGAGGGGCCGCACACGGTGTGCGGGAGGACTGCCAGTACCCAGCTCTGGGTCTCCACTCCCAAGGGATCATGCTGAGCCCAGTTACTGGAAGGCAAAGTATTTCTCTCCCCTTAAATTCACAGGTGTCACCCAGAGGCCCCGGTGTGCATGAATACGCCCATTCCCTGGGGTTTTCATTGATTGTGTGAGTCTCTCCGAACCTACAGCAGTGATCCAGGGGCAGCCCTGCTTCTGAGGGGGGACATGTTACTTTGTAGACATGCCACTGCAAGGGCACTGGAATCGAGCTGGCTCCGGAGAACAAGGGGTTGTTTCAGGCTTCAGTGTCCCGGGAGAACCCCAAGATATGACTCAAAGCGTGCCATCAGCAAAGAGCGTGGCTTCCCACAGACTGAGTGGAGGGGGCACTCGCTTCCTGTCTCTGCTATAATGACTTGTCATAGATAGGGTGCCTTCAAGCAACAAGTCCATCCTATCACTGCCTTGAGTCAGACGTCTGAAAACCGGTGTACAGGGATGAAATCAGGGTGCTCTGCCTGGAGGCGGTGGCAGGGTCTGTTCATATCCCTCACAGCTTCTGCTGACTCCTTCCTTCCTGTTCCTTGTCCTCCTCCTCTCTCTCTGCCTCTCCCTCTTCCAAGGGTGCATGTGCCTGCTTTAGGGCTTACCCTGACCTGACAATCCAGGACAGTCTCCACTTTCCATGCTTACTTGAATAACGTCTGCAAAGTTTGCCATCAAAGCCCTTACAAGTACGTTCCCGAGATTCAGACCTGACACCTCCGCAGGCCAGTGTTCAGCTTACTACAGAGGGCATGTTGGGGTGGAACCAAACAGAGAAAGAGAAACCAAGGACATGTTCTAGTGCACCTGACTTCTTGATTGGAATTTGAATTTTTCTGCAAGGCAAGCACCTGAGTGAACCCGGCTGCTCTAGAGAGATGTGTCCATCTAATCCAGATGGGTTAGAAAGGAAGCTGGAGGTAGGGAAACCAGACAGGGTTTTGCTTTCCCCTGGACTGAGGTCACTGACATCTGCAGAAACTGATAATGACTCTCATTCCTTTCCCTGTCTTTCCCGTCCATTCGATCACAAACCTGGAAGCCTTATCTTGAATTTATCTATGACCTTTACTTGCCATCCTTTTACAGGTGTCTGATCCCTTGAAACCCAGGAGCTGGGGAAGCTGGGTTCACTTCCAGCGTGCGGATGGGAAAGCTTTAGAAGCTGAAGTGAGCTCCTGGTGGTGTAGCTGCCTGAGTGGGTTGTCTTTTCTAGACCGTTCCGGGAAACAGAGTCTGGATCCTGATGGTGCTGGGGCGAGCCTCTCTGCGCAGCGATGAGTCCGTGGCTCTGGGCAGGTGTCAGCCCTCCCAGTGAGTGCTGGACCAGAGCCGTTTGGCTTCTACTTACGGGACTTCTGCGAGAGATATGGTCTCTGGAATTCTCCTGTGTAGTGACCCTCAACTCACTGCCTCAGTTTCATCAGATGCCAGATCACCCCTGTGGGAGTATTGTTCCCTTTTGAGTTCTTGCAAATCCACCCAAACTTGCATGCGGAGAAGGTTGTGAAGTTCCCAGTCAAAACCGCGGGAGAAGGTCATGGTGGGATTCTGGTATAATTCTCAAATGAAGGTGACTCTCAAGGAGCTTAGCAAACCAGAGCACGGAAAAGCCCACAGAGAAGTTATGAGAAAAGGAAAATGAAGCTGGCGAAAGTCATGTTGAAAGTGATTTCGGGGAGGCTGTGTGTGGGTTATAACAAAGTTTCTATTTTCCCTCTTTGGAAACAATTACAGAAGTGTCCGAACACAAGTGCTGGGGTTCCCTACCTGACCAACCGCCAGGGGCACACTCTGCTGGACCTGTCAGCCTTCCACCTGGAGGAGTACTTGCTGGTGCCGTCGGAGAGACCCAGGTGGGTCCAGATTGTCCCTGGGTCTTTTCTGTTCTTCAGGTCACTGTGGAAAGCCTATTGTTTCAACTGCCAGCATTCTTATTCTATTTCTTTTCTTTTCTTTTCTTTTCTTTTCTTTTCTTTTCTTTTCTTTTCTTTTC